CCAAGCAAGCATACTGCCCTTCTGGCTTCCAGCACAGTGAGGACACTGAACACTGGCTCATGGCAGATCAGCAGCACAAAAACACTCATCGACTCACAAAAAATCAGGTGGTGAAAGATCTCTAGAAGACTCTCATCCAATTCCCTGTTTACAGCAGGGTAATTCCAAAKCTAGACCAGGTTGCTCAGGGCCTTGCTCACACAACTTCTGAACATCTCCAAGGATGGAGATAATCYGAGTCTTTCTTGGCACCTCTTACCCTACTGAACTGTTCTCAAGGGGAAGAAATATTTCCTTATACGTGTGTAGAATTTTTTTGTTTCAACATTTGTCCATTGTTTCTTGACCTTTCACTATGCTGCCTTCTCAGAGTCTGGCTTCCCCTTCTCTACAGCTTTCCTGTAGGTAGGAGCAGACAGCAACTAGACATCCCATTTAAAACCCASCTCCCCCAGCCTTCTCCTTGTGCACTGTGTGCTCTAGCCCTGCACCGTGGGGGCCTTTTTCAGGCCATGCTGCMGTTTGTCAATATCCATCTTGTACTGAGGAGCCAATCCTGGGTATAGTTTTCCAGCTGGGACCTCCCATCGCTCAGGGTGGGAATAATAATTTCCCTGATCTGCTGACTACACCTTTGCTAATGCAGCCTAGGCTTCAAGGAACCTTCATTGCTTGAAGGGCTCACTGCTGAACTGTGTTTAAAATGCTTCTCGATACGTTTGGTGAGGATCCAATAAAATACAGGGGTTATTGCCACAGAGAACTTATTGCCCCACTCAGCAGGCTTTGCCTGTGCATGTGTGGTGTGCATTGGCTGTGCCCATGCAAGAGAGATTCCCCTCAGGCACTTTTGATGTGATTTTTGCCCTGTGCTGAAGGTCCTCGGGCACAGCCACTCTGGCTGTCATGACACATCCAGCGAGTGATACTTTTTTCCTCCTTCGAAATCATGGGATTTCTATTCATGGCACACAGAAATTTCCGTAACTAACTGTCCTTACTACACTACAGTGGCCAAATGAACTCAGCTTGGAGCAAAGGCTGATCCAATCACAGGTTGTTACATTCCTGCCCGACAGGGACCTACCTTCAAGTTCCCAGTTGCAGAGAAACCTACTTCTTTCAGTGGCAAAGCATTGGATCATTGCTGCATATGCTTCAAATTCCAAGGCATATCCCAGGTATGTGGTTTCTGTTCCTTGCCCTTAAAAGAGCAAGATGCCCCTGTAATGAAATGATTTAGGCAACCAAGCATGTGCAGGATAACACGCATCTCTAACGCTCCATTACCGTGTATTTCTAAAAGCTTAAACAACACGAAGCAGAGAAGTTACCAAGCAGTGGAAAATGCAATCTATTTCCATGCAGCGGGAAAAAAAAAAAAAAGAAAGAAAAAACAACCAAGAATGACGTGCTGAAATGCTCTCTGCTGTGTGCTGCCAGGGGATTTAATCAGCCAATTGCCAAAGAGATGTCAGTTCCCTGAAAAGAGTGAGGACAACACGCCTTGCTGAGAAATGTACTCACAAGATTAAAATACCAGCTGCAGGATAAACCCAATATTGTCCTACAAACAGCTAAAAATTTGGGTGAGAAGGAACAGCCTCCATCCTTAAAATGTGTGTCCCTACATCATCACACCTTTCAAGTCTATCTGTCCATCTCTGCTTACTGGTCAGTACCCCCAACGAATTCAGGTACTGCTGGAGCCAGGTTAATGAACATGTCAGGCCAGGTTTATGAGCCCTAGAAGCCAGTCAAGCAGGATCCTTGACACAAAATATCACCTATATTTCCAGGACAGCCACCACTAACAGTGCAGTTTACCACAGACCAAACAAAAGGTGTTCCAGCACAGAGTCTACAGTGGCACCACAGAAGGATGGTCTGTAATCATCACTGAAGGTCCAGGGSTGGGTGCCTTGTGTTGGGGTGGTGAAGAAAGAGAGAAATGGAGAAATCAGGAGAGTAGATAAAGAAGGAAAGTGCTGAGGTGGGAACGTGACAGTCAGATGTTATTGTGGAGGAGGCAACAAGGATGGGAGATGGAACAGGCAGCCAGCGTGGAGGTGTGTGTTTGCCACCCTCYCGGGCCAACGCTGCATAGAAGAGCTTGTCACAAAGGTTGTGAGAGAGCAACTGTCGTGGTAAGCGGCTGGCTTTCTCCACACATTTTCTGTTCTGAGCTTGTCAGGAGCTGGTGCCCTCAGCAGGAGGTGGGAACCCGGCTGTTACTCACATGGTTGTGCTCCCAGGAGGGAGGCCCCACTAACCTCCACCTACCACCTGCTCCGGAGCTCCGTTACCTCCCGCAGTCACTTTGTGTTGCTGCTGGTTTATTTTCTCGCTGCAGACTTGTAAACCTCTCTGTCACCCGCTTTCCAGCTCCCAGCCCAGGCTGGCAGTGCTGCTGGGCAAACCCCATGGCTGGTGCAGCATGGCCACCCCTCCTCACACAGCTCTGAGCCCCAAGATGGCATGCTCTGAGCCAGTTAGATGGATGGGGGCTGTACCAAAACTGTTTTTTTCTTAAGAAATGAGCTGGTCTGGAGACTGGGCTGGGACTGGGGGGCCTCCAATACCCACCACACTAATTGTCATGGGGCCACATCTCAGTCAAGCCTGCCTTGGTGCACAAGGAAAGGAGGACACCTCTTCACCCCACATTGCTCCTCCTATCTCCAACACCAGCAGGTTTAGACAGGTTTTTATTCACCACACTCCTCAGCTGAGCCCAGCTGGTCGATGTTATGAAACCCTAGAAGCCCTAAACACACACATGTGGGACACGGGCACGCCTCCCTAGGGAGAAACCAGCAGTGGCAACCAGGATGCTCCTCCCTGGTGTGGAGAGGAGCAAGGGCAGGCAGCAGAGAGGGAGGGAAAGAAGGTAAAGAGATCAGCTGAAATCCCCGGAGACACACACCCGTGTTTCTCTGACTTTGCCTCCTCCTAAGAAAAGGAGATAAGACAAATCAAGTGTCTGTGGCAGATGTTAGTCACGCAGCCTCACGTGCTACTGAAGGGTGCTCGGCAGTGCGGGGCGGGAGGGGGAGCAGAAAACTCCAGGCACCCTAAGAAAAATTAACCACTTTGTCCCAATTCTCGAGTGACAGTTTCCCTTGTCAGGTATAGGGCATTCTGACAAGCACTCCCAGTCATGAAGTCCAGGCGAGCCCTCTTCTTCGAGGAGACTCTCGCTCCTGTTTCTTCCTAGGCAGCAGTGCAGGAAGGAAGGAGGCTATAAAGGACTCTGGCAAAGAACAGAGGAGTAAAAGAGATGTCAGTGCCAGGCTGGAGTTCCTCTTCCAAGGCGTAAGATTGAATACATTTGCTGCGTTGCAGAACGAGGAGAGAAATGTCACCTTCAGAGGTGATCTGACAATCACAAAAATAAATTACATAGAGAGAAAAAAAAAACCCACAAGAAGATGAGCATTTGTGAATATTCATGAGCAAGTCAAAACCCCCAAATTAACAAGGAAATTAATTTCCAAACTGATTAGGYTGCCAACTCCTTTTATTTAAATAAATCAACAATTGCCTTCATGTGACTCCTGCTGAAGAACGCAGAGCTAATCCTGACTCCTCCCAGGAGGAAGTTTTGTACCGCCTGGGATGACCAATACCCCAGCACGTTCTGGGGACAGGCAGCCGCTGTGGCTGGAGCCGCCTGCCTCTCAGCCGCCGGGAGATTTCCCTCTGCCCACTGCTCCGGATGCTGCGGTTTCACGATCGCCCGAGCCAATCTAACCGCTGGCTGCTGTACTTGTGCTCTCCCTGGTCCCACCCTCTTACTCATGCTGGCTCTGGAAAGCTGTTCCAGCATGCCAAGCTGGCAGAAAACTCATGCAACAATTAAAAAAAGAGATTTCTCTCAAGTCAGAACACTGAAACAGCTCAGCCAAACGCCTAGTGCRCAACACCACAGGTGGGGAAGGTAGGGAAGCTAACCTAACCTGACYTGGGAGATGGGCCCAGCGCCAAAGTTAACTCTGCTGCGAGTAGCGGAATGAAGTGTATCTTATCCTAAAATCCCTTTCCGCCTAAGCGGAAGCGTCTAAGACAGAGCAGAGCAGAGCAGCAGCAGCCAGCGTGGCTTGGTGATTTTGTGGGATGTCCAGTTTGGTGTGGGGRTGACCAGCCAGCCCGGCTTGGCGATCTGGTGTTGCGGCTCCGTGATGTCTCCGGCAGGAACAGCCCGATGCCTTCTGCGCTGTGCCCGAGGCTGAAGGCACCGAGTGCTGCCGCTCCTCCCGCGGCACAGAAACGCGCCCGGCAGTGCCAGCGCACGGGAGGCAGCGGGGAACTGCCAGGCAAAACTTAAGTGGGCTGAATCTGTGAAACTGAATTCTCAATGACTGAGAACGAGGGTGAATTGCAGCCCCCTCAGGGGTCAAGTTGTGAACGGTTACAAATACAAAAAAATGAATATTTGGGTGAGGTTACATGGAGCCTCGACTGCGGATGGCGGGAAGAGGGTTACCTTGTTCCCCTCCACGCCTGGCCTTGCCCTCCTGTTCTCCAGTTTGCCCATCTGGCAGAAAACCCGCTTGCGGGAAGTCCTTTCTGTGGGGTTAGCAGGACAAGTGTGTTTAAGTGTGCCAGGAACCGCTCGAGCCAGCGCAGGCTGGGACCCTCCCAGGCGCCGGCAGCCAAACTTTGGGACAACTCCTGRGGCTCATCCCGGCGAGCCGGGACCGTCCCAGGCGCCGGCAGCCACAGCGCTTGAAACAATCCTCAACACAACCCCATCCCGCGCTCACCCGGCGGCGGCGGAATTATTATTATTATTCACGGTGGTTTATGAATATTCATGAGGGTGACCGCCTCTCCTCCCSCCCGCCCCCGCCCGTCACGTGACGCCGCGAGGCCGGAAGCGGCCCTGCCGGCCGGGCTCGGGGACGCCGCGCGCCCGCCCGCCCCCCGCGCGCCACAGCCACTTCCGCCCTTCCGCCAGCCCGGGCTCGCCCACGCGCCGGCGCCCTCCGCGCTTCCGGTAAGCGCGCGCGCGCGCACGACCCCCGCCCCGACCTCCGGCCACGGCGACCTCGCCGGTACCCCCGCCCCGGGGAGCCTGCCCAGGGCCGCCGCCGCCGCTCCGCCGCCCCGTTTTCAAGCGAAACCGCCGATGACGCCGTTCCGCTTCTGTCGGCGATCCGGAAGCGCTGAAGCACGCCCCGCCCCCTGACCCGGAAGCGCCTCGCCGCTGTCTTTCCGGTGAGGAGGCCGCCGCCGCCGCCGCCGGAGCCGGGCCGGGGCCGCCGCTGGGGGGGGAACCCGGTAACGTGCGGGGCGGCGGGACCGCAGGCGGGGGGCCTGGCAGCGGGACTTCCGGGGCCGGGGCGATCCGGAAGCGGAAATGGAGGAGGGCGGGCTGTCTGTCTGTCCGTCCGCCCGCCCGCCCGCCCGTCCGTCTGTCCCGGTGTCGGGGGCTCCGCCACGGGGGAGCCACGCTCCGGGCTGGCCCCGCCCTCGACCGCTGCGGGGGGAGGTGGGTCCGGGTTCCGCGGGGAGCGTCTGCCCCGCACATGACCGGGGCTGCCCCGGCCCGCGGGCCCCGCGGAGCGACGCCCACTGCCATGCGGGGTCCCGGGAGCCCCGGTAACCGAGGCGGTTTGTTTGCAGAGCCGGCCCTGGAAGGAGGAGAAATGCAAGAGGAGGGAGAGTGAGAGGGGTAAGGAGCTCCCGGAGCTGTGTGAGTGACCCCCGCCCCTTCCCCGAGAGCTGCCGCAGTTTGGGAGGGTATGGGATGGGCCGCGGGTCCCAGATTTGGGGGCTTGAAGGCATTTGAGCTCCGGGGCGCGGGAGAAGGGATTGACCGCCTGGAGAGAGCTGGGGCACAGACTRTGCTCTCTGCCAGGCACCTGTTCCWRCAGAGGCTCGCCCCGTCGGGGTGGAGGCTACGCAAGTATCGGGAATGGCACCAAAGTTGTCACTGCTGTGCGGATTTGGGATCCTGGACTTAGTCCGGCACATACAGGATATTCCTGATGTGTGTTCAAATGCGCTTGTTCTAAAGGTGTAGCAGCGTTTGAACTTTTTGGTGTTTATGAGATCCAAGAAGGCATTTTTGCTTTTGATCTAACAGCCTGCGTGTCTTTCAGCATCCCTAGTATTTTACAGCAATTAAGTCTAAAAGCTCCTTGTCATTGAACAAAGATCTTGGGCAGATATAAAACAACAGCGYAAATTGTTCCCGAGTATTACACTCAGGGCCTTTTGTTGACTGAAAAATGTGCCGAATAGGAAATAAAAGCCAGGCATCTGGAGAATWAAAAAAAAGTGTTAAAAGTCAACCTCTGAATAAATGCCTGCATATCCAACCTTGATTGTGCCTTCCAGAAACACAGCCTCTACCTCACCGTGTTCTTGCACGTGCTTTTATCTGTCCGTTTATGATTAAAGTGATGATCTGCCAAGAAGTATAAATCCAGCATGTTAAGTATGTGATTCTGTGAAGTACTTTGTGAGATCTAAACTCCAGATCCCTTGTCCCTTGTGAGTTCTCTGGTTCACTTGGTTGTTTATTTGGTATATGTACATTTGTGGTCTGTACATAGAAAGTGTTTTTGGTTTATATCAGGAGGGTACGTTGACATCTGTCTGATACTAGACTGGTGAATAGGAAGAAGGTCCCATCTCTGGCCTGTTTGTGGAAGCTGGGATGATGAAGGCACTGCAGTGGGAACGAGCTGTGGTACAGGGTTGAAGCTCCAGCCCATGTCTGGTAGTTATAGAGCAATTGGAAGGGTTACGTGCAGAGTTCTGGTAAAGTAAGTGTGAGCAGCGTCTAAGTGGGGGCTGCCCATAGGGGTGCATGTTTTCAAAATACCCTTTAGCCTAAAAATGGGGTAGGGGAGGGACAGCTGTGGGTATGAGAACAATAGGTTGGTGGAGGAATCTTACCTTTGTTTTCTGCCTTTGGAAGACTGGCTTGCTAGTGAAATTGCATGAAAGCTTCAACTTTTACACCATTTCTCCTTTTCCTCCATATTCTTATAACTCCATCACACTTCAACCTTTCAAGTCAAAAGTTTTGAAGCCTGATAATCTGCTCAGGCATGAAGATTTTTGGATGAAGAGGTGGATTCTAAGGGAGTTAAATGAAATCAGTGTAGCCATCCTTTGAAGAATCAGTAAGAGCRGTATTTTGACTTTCACACTTTGTAAACTGAACAAACAAAAGTTAGGTTCTCTGTGAAGTTCTGGTAGGAGATTAGATGGAGACAGGCAGCCACTGAGTGCCCTGGCCTCTGCTGGTCTGGGTTTTGGAATCTGGACACGGACTTGTCTTTTACTTGTTCTCTTTAAATAAGAAAGCTGTTGAGAGATTTTTGCTTAAATTGGCATCTTTCTGTTTAACTCCTGAAGTYTGCAGTTGCAGTTGACTAAAGGAGTCTTAGACACCTACAAAGTTTCTTTGAAAACTGCATCTGATTATTATATGAGACTTTAAGTTTTTGGAGAGCAAGGTTCACTTTGGTGTTTTTAATGTAGAAGCTAAGCAAATACAGGTTTATTTATTTTAAAAACAAAACCAAAACCAAGCAAAAACCCCTGAACTTGGAAATTCCAAACAAAATACCCCTCTTCATTCAGGTGGTGCTCAGTTGCCAAGGATGTGTTATCTCTTCACGTGTGCCCATCCTGTGGAAGAAAAACGTCATGTAATTAGGCGTTACATGCATAGGGCCTTGCTGTGGGCAGCGTACTTAATAATTAATTTGGCTCAGAAAAGAAAGCAGAGGAAGGAAGGTAAGAGTCTTGCCCCATCAGCCTCTGATTGAATCACAGCAGTGTAAATCCAGAGTAATTCAGTCAGGCAGTGAGCAGTCTGACTGCATGCCACCAGCATAAGGTAAATAATTTATCCTTAAGTGTGTTTATTGGTTGATTTGCAGTGAGTGAGTGAGGCAGGAATACTTGGCCTTGCTGTTGAATGAGCAATTCATAAAAACAAAATTATCGAGTAATTTGTTTCATTTAAATGCTGCTTCTCTACGTAGAGGAAAATTATCTTTGCATTTTGGCTCACGCGCAGCAATTCCACATGTATTCATTCTGTCCTGATATACTTCTGTAATGTGTTTCCTTACACTTACATGCTACTGGGGGCATGCCTCTGAGCTTCCCTGATGATTGAGATAGGCCCTTCAGAAACAATATTGGTTCTTTAATTAGACTGCTGACAGACCCTAAAAGAAATAGGAGTGGAACAGTTTGCAGGTAGCTGCGTGAGAAACCTACAGTGGTTGTGATCTCTGCCAGATGTATTCTGAGTGTACTTTTTATCTACCACTTCAGCCACGTTTGTTTAGGAATAGATGTATCTTCTGCTTCAGAAAATACCGTTTTGTTAATTTCTTTAGGTTTTAAACAGTGTTTTCACAAGTGTAACAAACTTTGTCTGCTATTGCTATTACACAGAGGAATGTAAGGATTAAAAAGGAAAATGCGTCTTCAGTCAGGTGTTCCTAAAGAGATTACACCTCTGTGTCMTGAGACTCTCTTTTGGTGCCTTAACTGGTCCTCTGAATGCATGGAGAGTTGAGGTGGAGCAGTAGGCACTTGGCTGGGGACAGACTMCTACAGCATCTTGCACCAAAGATAGGAAGGAAATGGGCAATAGAGAGTTGTGCCATGATCTTGCTTGGAAGTAGGAGCATAGGAATCAGGTTGTTTTCCTATTCCCTAGTCTCATTGGACAAGAGCAGGAATATTGAGTGCTATGTCTGTGTTTGTCTGAAGAGTAKGGCTGGGGTGGGCAGCCGGAAGTTAGGAGCCCAAAGTTTGACTTCTTGGTCTGCTGCGGCTGTCTGTTATCTTGGGCAAGTCTGTTTCCCTCTCTCTGCCTGTCTTTCTTCCTGTGTAACATAATGCTAATGTCCCTTTGCTGCATCTGGGTCTTTAGTGTTGAGCTGGGGTGGAGGGGCAGGCATGGGCCAAAATTTTCACTGCCTGTGGTATAAAACGGTTTTCATCTGTATTTGCCTGGTTGCAGATGCACAGACTTCATTTATGCCATCTACTTGGGTGGCTAATAATTGGGAAAATCAGGAGATGTTCTGGGTTTCTGGTCAGTCCTGTTTTTTGCATGGAGGACTACTGGGCAAGTGGCATCTCAGATGGACCCGAGCCCATGGAAATAGCAGATGCCTTTTTCCCCTGAAAATAATTTTTTATTTGGGTGGTTAGCTCAAAAAGGGGGAGAAGTTGCTCAAGAAATAGTGGGGAGATAAAGGAACTGTCACAGCATTAGACTGAGTCAGTTCCATGTTGGAGTCTCTTTGGGTTTAATGGTTTTTGTGTGTGTGTGTGTGTGTGTGTCTGTCTTCCTCATCCTCCATTCCTCTTCCCTTCCCCCTTGCTCCTTGCCCCCTGTGCCCAGCTAGGATGGAAGAATCTCATTTCAACTCCTCCCCGTACTTCTGGCCAGCAGTGCCCACCGTCTCGGGACAGGTAAGATCTTCCAACCTCTTAGTTGTTCTTGCATCCTTTTAGAAGTTTGTGCATGATGAGTATTTCTGTTGTGTTTCTTGCTCAGCTAAATGCTGGGCAAAGCTGTGCTGGRTATCTTAAAACATGTCTTTGTCCCTGTTTAGATTGAGAACACCATGTTTATTAACAAGATGAAGGAGCAGCTATTGCCCACAGARAAGGGCTGCAGCCTGGCTCCCCCCCACTACCCCGCCTTGCTGACAGTCCCCACCTCTGTGGCCCTGCCCACTGGAATCTCCATGGACTCGGACACCAAGCCGGAGCAGCTGACACCACACAGCCAAGCCCCTGTGACTCAGAACATCACCGTGGTACCAGTGCAGTCTGCTGGGCTCATGACAGCAGGTAGGGCACTCCAAAGGCTTCRGCAACATACAAGAGAGAATTTGGGAAGGGAAACAGAGGTTCTGGAGCAATCCTTATTGGGCTACAGATTATTCCTAGCCTTACTGATGGTATGGACTGCCTCGGCATGGTTTCACTGTGAGTCTCTAGGCACACCATACATCCACCCTCTTTATGGAAGTGTGACTTCCAGAAGTGGAGACTGGGAATGCCTTGGGAGGGGAAGCTACCCTTCTGTTTGTGTTGTAGTGAAAAGTAGGTGTTTCTGTGGGATAAGGAGGTTGGGCATAATTGGAGATGTAATAACTGACTTCCTACATCTTCTTTTGTTTGCAGGTCCTGGTTTGGTGATAACTTCCCCATCAGGTTCTCTGGTAACCACAGCCGCCTCTGCCCAAACCTTTCCCATTTCAGCTCCCATGATTGTCTCCGCACTACCCCCTGGCTCCCAGGCAGCCCTGCAGGTGGTTCCAGACCTGTCCAAGAAAGGGACAGCCACCCTCACTGAAGGTGGCGGGGGTGGGGGAGTTGCCCCTAAGCCACCCCGGGGCCGGAAGAAGAAACGACTGCAGGAGTCAGGGCTGCCAGAGATGAGCGACCCCTTTGTGCTGACAAATGAGGATGATGAGGACCAGCACAAGGATGGCAAGACATACAGGTGGGGAGTGGGGTTAAACCTTGACTGTAATATTGCATGGGGAATGGGGGTTTATTTAACCCTTCAGAGGGTTACATGGGGAAACAGAGATCTCTGCCTTGTTCCTAGAAAGTCCCTGAGTAGAGATTCTTTGAACTGCAGATAGAGTTGAGTTTTCTTTCTGGTCAGGAATGTTTACAAGCTGATGGATTGACCCAAAACTAAGGATTTCCTTTTAGTGAACAGCCTTGGTTTCCTGAACAGATAAGTCATTAATGTCACTAGATTAGTTAATGATCAAGATGTTATGGAGGGTAAACTGTATCCCTGATGGCACAGCCAAGTAGTATGGCTGGCGTACTGCAGAGTGCAGTGCTGTCTGGTGCAGCTGGAGCACTTTTGATGTACCTGGGTGCTCCTCAATAAGGACTCCAGTCTGTCCAGTGTAAAGACTACAAACTGGAGATGCACAAAGCAGGAGGTCAACTGTGGTGATAGTGTCTGCTCCTGTGTGTATTGCCCCATGTGATCTCCTTCTATTTCAACATTCCAAACAAAACTGGGGGGGAAAAGTGTATTTCTGAATTAAATACAAGGGTGTTTCTGAGCCCTAAGTGTGTCGGATAAGAGGGAGGAGAGTTCTGAGCCCTGAGGTTGGGTTTCTGAGCTTGGAGGGATGTGGCTTGAGTTTATGATTGGTGGGGAGGGAGAGATAAGCTAGGAGGGAATACCTGAGCCACGGGATAAGCAGGATGGGTGTTTTAGAAAAGGTAGGAACCAGACAGAGGAGAAAGTGGCAGGGAACAAATGTGATGGTCTGTCTTAGGTGGGAGGCAGGAGCACTTATGGTTGATTCAGTGATAGATGTTTCTGATGGATGATTAAGTAAGAGGTGAAGTAGCCCCCAAATTGAAACAGAAATAGAAGACGGTCCTTAGGTCTTCTTACTTTCCTACAATGTGCCCAGGATCCCATCTCAAACAATTTTCCTTTTACCATCTCAGATGCACTTTGTTTTGGCACAGTTTAGTTATCCTTCTGGAATTAAGCCATAGGAATATGAAAGCACCTACACAGAATCTGTGCATCCACCTCAGGCATTTTTTCACTTTTAACTACAGCATTTTTAAAATGTTTATATTTTTAAATAACATAGTTAAATGGGTACAAAACTAGAGCTTGGATCAGCCGTTTTATCTTAGCCAGTGTCCCAGTTCTTCCACTTTGAAAATATAATCAGCGTATGGTGAGGAAGGGTGGGAGTGTTAGGTAGCTTGCTATTTGTAATCCCACCATTTATTTTGGGCCGTAGCCACAGTTCCACACTACTCAAGCTGCTTACAGTCTGGGTTGCTAATTAGGTTGTTAAATATGTATTTACAGGGGACACAATTGGCAGTGAACACTAGAATTAAAGCTGAACCAGGGCTTTAATTATAGCTCCTTGTTTACTTGTAAGTTTGGAAAAAAATGCCCAAGACCAGGTGGAGTGACTCAGCAGAAACTTTATGAACACGCATAGTCTTGGAGCTCATGGAAAAGGCTTTGCAGGGAAAAAACAAATGAGTATATATGCRGGAACATGTAATTTCTTTATGTATAAGATTTCTTTATGTTTAGTCCAAGTGTAGTRCCTCTTCCTCTGGCCCCTATCCCAAGCAGGCCTTCCTCTGAGCAGTGCTATGGTGTGAGARAGCTGAATTGAGATTTATTGAAGACCACCAAGGAGTACTTCTGCCCTCCTTGAGATCTGCTCTTTGGATGATGCATGCCATGTGCAAGTTTGGAACTAAAAACTATTGTTGGAAAAATAAAGGAAAGTGTTATCTTCTCTTGGAGATGTGGGAGAGAACCCCTTTGTGAAAGATAGTAAAATAATTTCTCTATAATATGCATATGAATAGASTGACAAGTTAAAACTTGCAGGAATACTGGGATCCTTCTGTATTCTAGAGGATGATTTCAGTAGTTCCCGTCACTACAATATGCAGACATATGCTAGCTAAATTAAGACTGTGGGTGAGGTTCATCTACTCCTTCATCTTTCTCAAGSTGGAGGAGGAGTTGGTTGTGGCATTCATATGACTACATTTGTATGATTTCACTGATTCCCATGATGAGACACTGGGAATAAATCTACTCAGATTCCTGGAAGGAGTTGTACTATATAGATCAATGTGACTCTTTTTTTTTAATACCCAATTCTTAAAGCCTGGGATTATTTTGTCAAATCTAATTAGTTGATTTTTTTTTTAAGTTTTCTGTCTGATCTCTGTGASCTCTCTTGTCTTGAATGTCTGGGCAGGTGGCTAATATTTGTAATTCCTGACTCCTAGTGTGGTAATAAAGACAGAGTGAGGCCTTGAATGAGCAGCACAGCCAAGCAGATGTGGAAAGAGTTGGAGCACAAGCCTTGATAGATATATTGCAGCTCATCCCATCCTCTCCTAAATGTAGAGGATTCTGCTCCAGCAAATGGCAGCTGTTTTGCTGCTATATTGTCTCTAGAAGTAAGTTAGTAGGCTGATGTGAAAGTGGTGCAAGAATCTGTATAACTAGATTTTTCTTTGTAAGAAAATGCATGAGGTTTTTGCTAATGATGGCAATACTTGCAGATCTTCAACCRCTATCCTTAGGATTAATCTGGCAGAGACCTTGGTGCTTTGCATTGTGCTACTGGAARAATGCTTGCAGGGGATAGAATCTAACGCAGTCCTGTGAAGCATTTTCGTTCATGAGTAATGTCACTTCAGTCTTGTGGGGATTCATTGTCAGCTCTTTGTTAGTCTTCCCTGATGTCTTTTTAGAATTTGCTTTTTCTTTGGAAAATGAGATCAGCATCGAGTCTTTCTAGAGAGATGCTGGCACTGTGAAGCACATGGCTTCTACCCAGTGCTTTAAAAGTGTTGAGGAAAAGGTAGCAAATGGATCCTGAATTGGATTGTTTTTTAGTACCTGTGCACTTTTAGAAGTCTGTGAGGTGATGTGATGTGATCAGTGGACAAGACTGATGAAGTGGTTCGMCTGCTCTGGGCCAGATCATCAATTCTCTTTCTCTTGACAGTTCTCTAAATAATTYGTTTGTAAGAGAAAGGAATAGAGCTCTCCATAGGCATTGCTAGGTTCTGGTATTAAGTAAAATCTAAGATGAATACCAGTTTATGGCCTGGAATGGTTTTGCAACCTGTGCCCTGGAGCCTCGGGTGCCAACAGAAAGGTTGTAGGTTTCAGAGGGGCCTTGCTGTCATAGTGTAATCAACAAGCTCTCTCTTCTCCACTTCTAGTTTTGAGTTCTCCTTATTTTCACTGGGGAGCATCAGAGAGATTGGGAGACAGTGAGCTGAGGGACATAGGACACTTCTGAGATGAGTCCAAGATGCAGAAGTGTACAGAAGCCTTAGTAAGTTGAGCTGTAGAAGGTGAGGAAACTGGATGGAGGCTSTCACTAGGGAGAAAATTATGTACACAGGGGAAACCAGTGGTTTGAATACACCAGGTGGGCATCTTCTCAGAGATGTCTTGTTTTAAGCCTGTTTTTTCTGCCCTGTATTGGGTTTGTGTTTGGTGAACTTCCCATAGTTTTGAATAGATTTGAAAAGTGGTGGCTATAGTTTTTGTAAGCCWCATAGGTCTGTGAAAATATTGTTGAACTTGGCCTGTAATAAGCTTGGAAAAAATCTGTTAAGCATGCTCTGAGATGATTTATAATTTGGTGGCTGAAATACGTGAASGCCATATTTTCTCTTTGCTGTTTCTTGAGGCCTGCTTGAGTGCAGGCACTGAGCAGACAGTCCATCCCCACAGAGGAGACAACTACACCCTAACTTCTCTCCGTTTCTGTGAGGCTGGACTACAAATGTACTCTCTCCRCAGCTCTAAGCATCTTCTAGAGTTGCCCTGAAGGGCCAAGCATGCTTTTCCTTCAGGGACAATGCTCTTCTTTCTCCTTTGGAAGGGAGTCTTTAGTGCTCGGTGTGGATAGTCGCCTCCCCCTCTGATGGGCACAAAGGCAAGGTGTGAGAAGACACTGCTTGGTACAAATGTAGGTGTGAGAATGAGATATGTGCAGGGATTGGAGCTRTTTGTATTGAGGAAATCTGGAAACTTGGTAGAGATGGGAATCAGAAAGGAGAGAGAAAAGACAACATTCTACAAACTAGGGAATKCAGCAGAGGATGTGATGGGGAGCCTCTGCAAGAGGGAGATGGGAGAGCTAGCATAGGGATAAGCTACGAAGTGCCAAGACTTGAGGGGAGAAGGAAAGAACCAAACCTGCTTGGTGCTGGAAAACGAGATACCTMTAACTGACAGAACAGAGAGGGATGAGTATGGGATGTGGACAGACAAACAGAAACATGGAGGAGAGAAGTGTTAGGTAATTGAAGGAATGAAATAGGCAAGAGCCCCTGCAGTAGAGGATCAAGTATCTGGGGCATGTGGGTAAAGAGCTTGGGCCTGGTCTTGGTGCAAGAGAGGGGATTGCTATGGGCTAGAAGKCTATGGGGGAGTTAAGTTTGAAGTGTCAGGCAGAAGGTTTGACCACATTCCCTCCAAAGCCTAGAAATATTAAACCCAGTGTTTCTAAATTTTGCCATGTCTTTGATGTCRGTACAAGAATGTGACCTCCTCTGGCAAAGAACCTCATCTCCCTCTTAGGCTAGAAAAAGGTGACAGGGTATTGTTGCTGTCATTTATCATCCTAGCTGCAGTGGCAGAGGTCTGTGCAATGGATCTTAAGATTGCTGATGACCAACGTGGGTGTCAGTATGATGCCACACGTTGGAATTTCTGTTTGCTTTTTTTAACAAGTAGTTCCGTGAGCAGCGGAACTAATGAAGCCTGGTTTCCAGCGGCTCTCTCCTGTGTGGATTCTCTGATGTCTAATCAAGGGTGAGCTTATAAGCCTTTCCCTCAGCAGAGGACTCCAAGAGAGTCTCTCTTCTTTCCTCAGCTTCATATTTTTGAGACTTATATTGACTTTTAAGATCTTGACCCCTTTTTCTGATTGGTTGGTGCTGGCT